TATTTGAAAATTCAAATCCAATCGAGAGCTCCAACAAACATCCTGGATCTGAAGACCATATGTGAAGAGGAATGGAACAAAATACCAACTAAAATTTGCAAACCATTAATTGAGAACTACAAGAAGTTGGTGGCTGTAGAAGTGAATAATGGCTATTCTACAAAGTATTAAAGGAAGATTATGCATTCATTTTTGTATTGTACGAATAATTTTTTCACCCATTAAAAATGAATAAATGGGATTTAATTCTATTATATCAAAATTTTTTTTCTGTTTTCTATGAATATTTAGTTATTATGCATCTGTGTGCAGTAAATTATGTGAAAATTATGCTTATTCATTAGTTGAAATTACAATACATTAAAAAATTTTATGTGCACGAATATTTGTTTCCCCCACTGTGCATATATATATATATATATATATATATATATATATATATATATATATATAAAGAAAGAGATAAACTTAAATATACAATATAACCCATATTTATACACACACACATATACACTGTATATGAATGTTTCAGTGAATACGATTGATGCAGAGTATTTTGTAAATTTTGATCCAGTTTTTTCTCATGTCTGTCCAATTTTTCTTTTACGTGGACTTAGAGTGTGTATAAACTCATTTCATTGATTATTTTCTCAAGAGCATTCAGCTTATATTTATCCATTTTCAAGCGTAGCTGAATTTTTGTTGTTAGTACATTTAGCACACTACGCATACACACACACACACATACACACATATACATACATACATATATAGAAACAGTCTGGGCTCTATAGCCATGGATGGTGTACATTCTAAGGGAAACAAAATTCTGAAGAACGCTTTTTGGATATATCGTGACCAATTTCCACACTATTTCTCTGCTATCAGTTGCTTACGGCCACATAACGTTGAAATACCAGAGTTAAGCAACGACGAGCGTGGTTAGTACATTGATGGTTGACTATTTGGGAATATATTCGGTTTTTTTTAAATTAATTTATTTGAGTTATTCTAGCCTTTCCTGTGTTTAGATGTTAGAATATAATAATGCCTAACGAGGGCTTTGGAGAGTGACAATAACAAATTTATTTTTCTCTTTTTCCATGCACCCCATACACACACACACATGCACACACACGCACTCACGCACACACACACACACAGGAACACACACACACACACACACACATATATATATATATATATATATATATATATAATGGCTAGCGAGTTTAGTACATTCATTTAGGTGCTATTATCCTTGTGAAAGTTATGAATTCATCTCTTTTTCTCCCAACTATAGGTAAATAATAGGGCAGACTGGGTCCTATAGCCTTGAGTAGTAACCGGTCTAGGAGAAGGACATCTTTAAGGGGGTCATTTTAGGGACCCCGTGGCACGCTTTGCACCAGTTCTCTGTACTCAGCTCTTCCAAAAAGTGCGCTTGGTTCTGCACACGCCTTCACCACTATAATCAAATGATATGTGAGGGCAATGTGGTAGTTGTTTTTACGAGCAGAGCTGCTGGACCCGGTACATGGCATTAATACTGTTTAATTAAAAAAAAAAACTGAGCATTTATTTAACTAAATCTATAAAAATAAGGAATAAACGGAATATATATATATATATATATATTCCGTTTATGCCTTATTTTTATAGATTTAGTTAAATAAATGCTCAGTTTATTTTCAACATCATCACTTGATAAGACACAGAGTGTGTTGAAACAAAATGGCTATTTTTGTAGTGATTTTATAACATACTTATGTTATAATTTTTTTTATAAAAATAATTATATCTGCTCTACTTTGTATTGAGCACTCTTTTAAGAATAATAATTGTTGGTTATTGGAATTCATTCCGTATATACCAATTATATAGTTGTATATATATATATATATATGTGTGTGTGTGTGTGTGTGTGTGTGTGTGTGTGTGTGTGTGTGTGTGTGTGTGTGTGTGTGTGTGTGTGTGTGTGTATATATATAAGCAAATATATGGATATAGATCTGACAGTATGAAGAAAAATATACTGAAAAAACAAACAAAAATCCTAATATGCAATTATGCTATTTTAATGTTTAATGTCAACGTCGGACGTTTTGGTCTAATAGACCATCTTCAGGACATATTTATAAAACATAATTAACATAGACCATATACAATTCAACATGAAAAAGACGATGGACATAAAAGCAATACCAATCCAAACAGGTTGACATTGAACATTAAAACAGCATAATCGTATATTAGGATTTTTGTTTGTTTTTTCAGTATATTTTTCTTCATATATATATATATATATATATATATATATATATATATATATATATATATATATGTGTGTGTGTGTGTGTGTGTGTGTAGTTATATATATATATATATATATATATATATATATATATATATATATATATATATATATATATATGTATATATATATATATATATGTGTGTGTGTGTGTGTATATATATATATATATATATATATATATATATATATATATATATATATATGTAGGTATGCAGAAATATAGTTTTAAATATTTTTTTGTGTGTGTTTTAAATAGTTTTTATATATTTATGGGATAAAGTGCTCAATATCAGAGATAGAGCGTATGTAAATATAAAAGTGAACATTGAAGTCAACACTCAGAGGCGATAGCCTGTTCCATGCTAGACGCAATAGTCAGGCCTATATATATATGTGTGTGTGTAAGCGAATATATGGATATAGATCCGACACTATGAAGAAAAATATACTGAAAAAACAAACAAAAATCCTAATATGCGATTATGCTGTTATCTGATTGGATTGGTATTGCTTTTATGTCCATCGCCTTTTCATGTTGAATTATATATGGTCTATGTTAATTATGTTTTATGAATATGTCCTGAAGATGGTCTATTAGACAGAAACGTCCGACGTTGACATTAAACATTAAAACAGCATAATCGCATATTAGGATTTTTGTTTGTTTTTTTCAGTATATTTTTATTCATATATGTGTATGTAGTGCGACCCAAAACATATGAGGATTTAAATGAATTTAATGTGAAGGTACTTAGCGTTTCCCAGGTCTCTTCAGACATTTGAAACCACTCCATCCGAAAATGAAAATATGTTAAATTATTATCGATTTTTTTCTTTGAAGAAACAATTTCTTGCTTCACATTCTCGGAACATTTTCGCTGTAAATCTTGCGTGCGTACGTACGTGTGTGTGTGTGTGTGTGTGTGTGTGTGTATGTGTGTGTGTGTGTGTGTGGTTGCCCAATGGTGCGTGGCGCCTCATAGGTGGTGCAGAAGAGGATGGCAGGTGAGATGGAATAATTGAAAGACAATCAAAGATTTAGAAACAGTTTCAAAAAATCCATATGCCAAAAATAAATAGGATTTCAAAATTAAAAATAATACTACGGATTACTTGTAATTGCATGCATGAATCCCAGTATAAATAGTTATAAATAATTATTGACCAATTTTATCATTGTGATATTTTTGCATTATATCAAGTATTAAGAATATAGTAACTACGGTATGCAAATTGGAGGAGAGAGTTATCAATGATAATGTTCTGACTTTGAATCCGCAATTATCTCCCTTTAACTCTCACTCTTTTTTTTCTTTATTTTTAAATGTACTTTTTATCCCATAAAATTTAATAAGGCGCGATCAAATTTTCATTCCAAAAATGCGGCCCAGAGAAAGAAAGAAGTTTGGGAACTACTGTATTAAGGTTTTAAATGTATGATAGTGGACTACATTCCCGATTTCGAATTATCAGAGCGTCCTGGGTATGACGATAAACTACATCCGCGTCCTGTGTATGACGATAAACTACATCCGCGTCCTGGATATGACGATAAACTACATCCGCGTCCTGGGTATGACGATAAACTACGTCCAACAACAAGGCTTCAGATAATGTTCTCGGAAAAATAATGTTGCCAACTATACGTTTTTGCAAAAAATAATGTTGCCAGCTATACTTTTTTTGCAAAAAATAATGTTGCCAGCTATACGTTTTTTGGAAAAATAATGTTGCCAGCTATGTGTTTTTGAAACAACAATGTTGCCAGCTATACGTTTTTTGTGTACTTTTTTTTTTTAAATAATGTTGCCAGCTATACGCTTTTGAAGAAATAATGTTGCCAGCTATGCGTTTTTGAAAAAATAATAATACATATATATATATACCTTAATTTGGCATTAAATGTTGGTGGTTGATATGCCATAAAACCCAACCAACCGAATTATGAGAGTCTAACCGTGCAGTCATATTACTTGTAGAACTGGTCCGCCAGACATTTTATTTTTTTTTATTTAAGGTTCACCCAAAATAAGGCCCAAGATATAAAATGTTACTAAACAATATTATTGTATAGCCGTAAATAAATCCTGATTATGAGGTTATATAGGATATGGTTAGGTACATTTGAATATTGGAAAAGTGAAAAGACAAGATAACGAAACATGACCCCACCAACTTGTGCGCATAAGGAATTAAATTGGATCAGTTGTCAGATAGCCCAGCCATAATTAATTACTTCACCATAACGCCCACATTCCATTCACAAAATATGACTACAGCAGCCACTATTATAAACCCGCTGATGAGATAGCCTTCTAAGAATGTTCGGGTCACTTACTATCGGCAGCAAAACTATTTTATTTGTATTTATATATTTAGAACTAACAACACTATTTGGAGAAACTGAAAGCAGATTTATTGACTGATTCCTTTTTTTACGGCTTATCAACCCTTTCCAGGTTATTTAAAGCCAGGAAATATTTTTAGACTGTAAGAATATTTTAAAGATAATAATGGTTTTTTGTTATACAAGTCTTACTAATTAACCCATAGCTGGGGGAGAAGAAGTGGATTCAACGGTATTTGCGCGTAAAGGAATATAATGAACCTGACTGGAATTGGAACTCGACTGTTCGATTAAAAATTCCGAGCCGTTATTCATTGCCGGGAACGCACAGCCAAGCTTACAGCACCTGGTATTTCCAAGTGGCCATCCATCTAAGTAGTGATCAGGATCGACGTTGCTTAACTTCGGTAATCGTACGGGAGCTGGTGTTTCAACGTGATACGACCGTAAGCCTTCTTTCCTTTAACTTTGTGCCGTGAAAAACTTCTTGGTAAGATATCAATATACGTGACTAAGTTAAGCTACGATCACTTATATAAATATTCCAATAATCAGCGTTTCCTCTGCCGACTTCGAGTTGAAAAGATTGCTTTCAAAAAGAGGCTTCGTTCCGGACACTTCCAGATAAATTTGCTTATTTAAAAGATGTTGAGAAACAAACTAAATCGGCTTTACGAGACACAGCTCAAAATTTAATCTAATTTAAGGGGCTTCTGGTGATGGACATCAGTCGTTCGTTATTTTCTTTCCTTTTTATTATTGCCTAGTTATTTTCTTCTGAAGAACGTTGTCTTAATTATGAAGATTAATGTTTGGTAACGCCTTCTTTTTATAAGGTGTCATTATGATGTCATTTGAAGTGTCGGACATTATTTAAAGTGGTTGATATTATGTATATGAGTTTAGGAATAGGTTTTATTGTTTGGCAGTTTAAATAGACTAATTTAATAAAAGAGAATTTAAATATCGGGAATTTTTTTTTTACACAGGATGGAAAGTGCGACATTGAAATCGGGTTGGTATAGCGAAAGATGGCCTCTAAAAGCTAAGCAAAATATTAAGAAACAGCAAAATCTCATTAGAAGCGAAAAAAAGAGTATTGAATTGTTAGGTAATATCAGTCCTTTTATTTGGCAGTGAATGCAGTCAGATATTGTTTCTTTCTTTGCTTATTAAAATGCCTCACATATGTAAGATGAGACTTGAAGCAGCATAAAAGTGGTTCTGCAGAAGGATACTGAGAATGCCATAGACGAACATGTGAGCAACGACAAAGTTTTAGAGAAAATGCACGCTTATACTTAACGTCAGAAAGAAATTTACAGTGCGCCTAATGAGGAAAGAAGACTTGGAAAATGTGATACTCACAGGACGAATTGAAGACGCGAAGAACAGAGGAAAGCAACGCATAACCTACCCAGCGAGCTTGAGTAAATGGATGGCAGTACCGGGTCTAGGAGAGATAACAAAAAGACAAAATTTATTAAAAGATATTTGTAGCTATTTACATTATTCGGACTATTGTCCTGATCTTTGTTGCCATATTTATCACAACGTTTGGTCTGTTGTACACTCCAGACTTCATCAGGTGGTTAGAATGTCGAACTGAACCCTTTATTTCGCTCGCTGGGGCAGACTGTTCTAGTTCCATGTTTAATGAATGTCAGTTATCAGTTATCCCCTGTTAATTCACCTTTCCAAGTTCTCCACTGCCTTAACCAGGTATTGAACTCACAACTCTTTGTGCCATTTCTCCTTAAGGACACATGGCACAGTGGATAAAAGCTTTGGTTATATCCAGTGACAGGACATATTATTTTTCAGACTTTCTTGACTTAAGAAAAATAAGAAATTACAGTTGCTCCCCAAGGACAAAAATAGTGTTACACAGTGTTATTAAACACCTTCTTGATCTCAAAATTGAACTTAGTGGATCACTTCTCAACGTAATGCTTCTCAGTTTAATTGAGCGTTTCTTTCCGTTCGTTATTTTTGCTAGGCAACTTGCTACTAAAATCTGCTGAGTGTTTGTTTTTGTTTTGTTTTTTTAACGGCATATCAACTTCTTATGGGTCATTGAATGCCGAAATTTAATTTTCTTGGGAGTGTTGAAGTAATAAAAATATGCAATTCTGCTATCACATTTGGATAGATGATACTCAGCTTTTGTGCATATACATGTTTGTGTAGACATTACCATTGCGATGTGCGTTTCATGTTATTGTTTTGCTAAAGTTATATTTTGGGATGCAATTTGATTCAAGAAATTGTAGAATGTTGTATGGATTAATGTCGTGAAAGAGTTCTTTCATGTTGGTTGCTTGGCTGGTTTCGTTAAGCGGTATATCAACCTCTATGAGTTATTTAATGTCAAAATCTAAAAGTTTTCAACGCAATTCTATGCCTTCAACTACAGATAAAATATTTTGTGGCTCATTTTACTATAAATAAGTATTGTTGGTAATTTTTTATAGAAAATGTACTGCAGGTAATTTTACTATAAAAGATGTATTACTGGCAATTTTACTATAAAATGTATTACTGGTAATTTTACTATAAAAAAAATTGTTTGGCTGGTTTTGTTTAGCGGCATATCAACCTCATTGGGTTATTTAATACCGAAATCTAAATATTTTCAACGCAATTATTTACCTTCAACTACACATAAAATGTATTGTTGGTAATTTTTTTTTATAGAAAATGTATTACTGGACTAATAGAGGTGGTGATATGTGTGTTTTATGCTATTTATTTTTTAAGTTATATTTTGAAATACAGTTTGAGTCAAGAAATTGTAGGAATTTTAGGTAAATGTTGGTTTTGTTTCCCGAGGGCTAATATCCCTTAAAATTTTTCCAAAATCGTCATAATTCCATCCAAAAGTATATGCTGAACTTGAATTAACAATTAAATTATGAAGAAACGTTACCTTACTGTGAAAGTATAAAAATACATTTTTATAGTTAAAATACCAGCAATACATTTTTATACATATAAAAAAATGACCAATATAATTAATGGAAGCCAGAAAATTGTTGAAATTATTTAGATTTCGGCATTAAATAACCGATAGTGGTTGATATGTCACTAAACTAAATCAACCAACCAAATAAGAAACCAACATGAATGAACTTTTGATGACATTAATCTATATAAAATTCGGTAAATGTTAGTTTTGTTTCCCGAGCGCTAATATCCCTTAAAATTTTTCAAAAATCGTCATAATTCCGTGCAAATGTACACGCTGAACTCGAATTAGCAATTAAATTATGAAAGAAACCTTACTGTTTTGGATTTATCGACAAGAAAAAAATCGGACTTCTTGTTGGTCATTCGTCCCCCATTACTGCCATCATGAATCTTGATTCGGTGCGGGATACTTGCGCTTTTGCACTTAGAATGTAAGGTCCACAGACTGGTTAATAGTAACTAAATACCGGACTGAATAAAATGCCGATTTACGAAGTATCAAGACTTTAATCAGCATGTCCACGTTAATTAGGCAGCCTATTTTTAGACAGAGATGGATTACCAACTCTACATGTGGATACAATCGACGTATTCATGGCTTCAACTGAGGGAACCGTTGCTAAGCAGATGATAGTATACTTCTTGATTGACATCTATGAACCCCCCGTGTCGGCTATGTAGGCCGTGGACTGACGGGTTTAACGGCATCGGCGTTAAATTGGAATAGTATTTAATACAATACCCCGTTTCGTAGGGTGGTATCGATCATTGTCACTTAATGATGGTCATGTTCTTGTTCCACTTGTCACGTTGTCTGGAATTGTTGTCCGAAAAAAAAAAACTAGAGAACTTGCGATTTCAAAAATTGAATGTCTCATCTGCCAGGTCTCAATAATGATACCAAAGTCAAACGATGTATCCATTTCTACAAATGTTGACAACCATCCAGTGTACTTCTGTCTCTGTTTTTGGTATTTTAACTTAGATAGATAGATAGATAGATAGATAGATAGATAGATAGATAGATATGAACAGCCTGAGAAAGTAAGATAGTAAGAAACTGAAATAGATAGATAGATAGATAGATAGATAGATAGATAGATAGAAATGAACAGATTAAGAAAGAAAGAAAGAAAGAAAGAAAGAAAGAAAGAAAGGTGAAATAGATATTATTGTGAAACCGGAAACTACCTACACAATAGACTCTTCCAGGCCTATATTAAGTAGGCGACATAGCACTCTAGAGAGTGACAGACAGTGACAGAGAGATAGAGACAGCCGCGTACGACTACCAGTATTGGACACTAACAAATAGTAAGCTCCGCTTACACTATCTCTGTAACCTGTTGTTAATATGTCTTTCTTACATCTAATCCGTGTTCCGTGTTTTCCTTCTGTGGTCCCAACTTTGGCCCCACATCAGTGGCGACGAGGATTCTAGAAACGCACACAGGGCGAAACCTAAATACCTTACCAATCCCACATCTGGGTCGACGAAGAATTCGAGAAACGCATTCACGTCGAAAAACCGCATTACTTTGTCAGTCCCACATCAGTGGCGACAGAAAGATTCGAGAATTTCGTTCTCACCATATCAATAGCGACAGTACTCGAAAAATACACAAACTCCACGCGTTCCCACAGTAGTGTTGAACGAGAAATTAAGCTGGTATTACTACATTAGCGACTTAAACGCAACACCCAGCGTCTACGTATAAAAAAATATATTCCAATACCAAAAACATCAGTGACGAACTAGCGATTCGACATCTACGGAATATTAAAGTCTGTCCAAATAACGTTACGAGAAAGATTTCTTACACACTTACACACAAAAAAAAAACAGTTTGTCATAAAACAAACTGACAATACAAGATCGGAAGTACTACCATTGTACTCAAGTTTTCGAAAAAATCTATCGAAAATTTTTTTTATGTAACTGAGTTGAACTCGGGCATAAAATTATTCTCCCCTCAAATCCACTGAGGTGAGTTTTCTCTTTTTATAACTCTATTAAAAAAAATACATAAGTATGGTGAAAACTTATACAATTACGTTAAAATTAACGGAACCACGGAATCTAAAAAAAAAGCTAAACGCATAATTAGTTTAGTTTAACTATTGTCTGTCCATATTTTTTTTCTGTAAAAGAGAAAAAAAAAAGGAACAAATCTATCAAGTTTTTGTGTACCTCCTCTTATTACACGTGTTTCAAAGCAACAAAAAAGCGCTGTCATTTTTTAATATGGAAGATTTTCAAAAAGCAGTTGACGAAATGTTCCAACCAAATTTGGATCAGCAACAAAAATCAGAAGAAAGACAACAACAACTATTTTTGGAATTACATAAACAACAAATGGAATTCCAACAAATTACGCTTCAGAAAGCTGAACTACAACAGAAACAACTTAAAGAATTACTCGTAAATGCATTAAAAGGCTCAAACTCTGAAAAGATACAATATTCTCCCAGAGTACAAT